TACCTAGAGATATTGTTCTTCATCGGAGAAACGATCAATTAACAAAAGTTCCAGAAACTCATCGATGCTACGATGCCCTGCAATATCCAATCATTTTTTGGGATGGTGCCGATGGATATCACTTCAACATTAAGATGATAAATCCAGTCAGTGGCGAAGAAACAAATATGAAATGCAGCGCAATGAACTATTATTCATACTGGTTAATGATTCGAGAGAATGAAGACAATCACATTTTGAAATGCCGTCAATTGTTTCACCAATACATCTTAGATATGTATGCAAAAATCAAAACAGAACATTTGATATTCATCCATTTGAATTAGACCAAGCTTCGCTCTGAAGAATACGTTCATTTCCGAGATGCAGTTGTAAATGACGGTAATACAACTAACGTTGGAAGACTAACGATTTTGCCATCTTCATATACAGGCAGTCCATATGCATGAGTACGCTCAAGATGCAATTGTGTATGTTCGTCACTACGGGCATCCAGACCTATTCATTACATTCACATGCAATCCAGCTTGGGACGATATACAACAGCTCTTACTTCCTGGGCAATTGCCGGTGGATAGGCATGACAAATTCACCATGCATGATAGACGGAAAATGCTCTAAGCGATATCCTTGAGCATTAGTATCCAACACAGTTACAGGAAACGATGGATATCCTTTATACAGAAGAAGATCAGCAGAAGATGGCAGTAAATTAGCAACCATACAAATGCGAAACGGTGACATCGAAGTAGATAACCGGTGGGTTGTTCCATATTCGCCTTTGCTATCAAAAACATACAAAGTGCACATAAACGTGGAATACTGTAACTCCGTTAAATCGATCAAATACATTTGTAAGTACGTAAATAAAGGCAGCAACATGGCAGTTTTTGGCATGCAACCAGAAAGAAGTGATAGGAATGTGGTCATACATATCGATGAAATTGCACAGTATCAGGCTGGAAGATACATAAGCAGCAATGAAGCTGTATGGTGAATTCTTACATTTCCCATACATGAACGAAGTCCAGTTGTTGTTCACTAAGCAGTACATCTAGAAAATGGACAACGCGTTTATTTCACAGCTGCAAATGTGCAACAAATAGCCCTGAATCCACCGGCTACAGCGTTAACTGCTTTCTTCACGTTATGTCAAAATGACGCATTTGCTAAAACAATGCTGTATTCGGAAGTGCCTACGTATTACACATGGAATGCGAGTAGAAAATCATTTGAACGACGCAAACGAGGAGAGCGAGTCGACGGACAACCTAGCATATTTAAAGAAACTACGATAGGCAGACTGTACACCGTGAATCCCAATCAAGATGAATGCTTCTTTCTTTGCACGCTGTTGGTAAATGTGCCCGGTCCAACGTCTTTCCAGCAACTGAGAATTGTCAACAGCGTTACACATGCCACTTTCCGCAGTGCATGTCAAGCTCTGAATTTATTGGACAACGACCGACACTGGGATGTATGCATTAATGATGCGTGCAAAACGTGACATCCAAATCAAATTCGTGCATTGTATGCAATCATATTGACCGCCTGCTCTCCTTCATCTCCAACAGAGTTATGGGAGAAATATAAATCGCACATGGCTGAAGATATTTTCCGTCGAATACGCAAGGAAAAATCAAATATGAACATGGATTTCATAGCAGAAATCTACAACGAAGCGTTGATAATGATTGAAGATTTGTGCTTAGATATTGCGAACAAAGTTCTCAATCAATTGGGAATGCCATCACCGAATCGATCTGCTGCTGCTTCGTTCGATGTAGAATTGCGTTGTGAACAAAATTACAACACGGGTGATCTTTTGTCGTATGTGCAATCAAATATTCCTAAGCAACGCTTGAGCAAAAAGGCATTTACGATCAAATAATGCAAACTGTCAATAACGGGGTTGGAGAAATCTTCTTCTTAGATGCGCCAGGAGGAACTGGTAAAACGTTCCTAATTAGATTGATTCTGGCAGCAATCTGATCCCAAAATGACACAGCCTTAGCTCTTGTGTCGTCCGGAATAGCTGCGACGTTACTAGCAGGTGGAAGAACTGCTCATTCCGCTTTGAAATTGCAATTGAACATGCAATTCATTGAAACTCCCACGTGCAACATTTCCAAAG